CCTTTCTTAGGGTAGTCTTAACCTAGAAACTGAGTTAGTTTCTATATTTGCTAAATCATGTGGACACAACACATAGAAACTATATTCTCAAAGGCCAAAATAAAATTTTGTCCAATCACAAGTCTTCTCTCTTCATCATCTACCTATCACATCTCTTCATATCTTGGTCCCCATGTATACATGCTTTCTTATCTAAGAAACCATTTCCTCCAATCTCTTCTTTAATTCCAATGCCATATTATCATTTTGCCTGGTTGACACCCTAATTAATGAATATAGAAATAGGTTGGGAGTGCCCTCAAGGCATCTCTAGCAATAGGGAAAAATCTCAACCCCAAAACTAGTTATTGGGGGAGCTACAATCCTTTTTTGAGGGTTTCGAAAGGCCTCATCTCCAACGAAATGAGAAAATCTCAACCCCCAATGTCTCCTCTGACATGTGGGGTCTATTTACCATTCAATATAACTCTCTCTTTTTTCTCCCCACCCATTTCTTTCTCTTTCTCTCCCTGGTTCCTAGCGATGCATCTGCTTTTGCCACCACATCTACTCCGCCCGTGAGTCCTCCTTCGCGAGCACTACTTCGTCGCTCCTCTTCCCGTCCTGCTCCTTCGTATGGCATGAGTGGGGCGCTAGGAGCTATGGCAAGGTGGCACGAAAATCTGCAACAAGGCGGCCAGAGCATCTTGATTGTAGCTATCTTCTTCCCTATCCCCGTGACTGGCACCCATGGCTAGCATCTTGCCACCGGCACCCCCGTCCCCGTCCTTGGCGCCAGCAGTTGGAGCTCACGCCAAAATCTAAGGTATTGGGGGGAGGGAAGTTTCCCTCATATTTGAGGGGTGGAGGATAGATTTGGAGGGGTTGAGAAAAAAAACTTGTCATTTGGGGCTAGAATGGGGATATGCTGGAGCTCTAAAATCCTTCAAACTACATGTTTTTCTCATTGGTGTGGGAATTGAGGGACATGTGGAGACGCTGTCACCCCTTCTCGTGTCCAAAGCTAAAACGACAAATAATATGAGACAGAGGGAGTACTCTGAAACCCTTTTGGCCAATTACCCTTTGCAATATTATATATAAAGTGGTTTCTAGATGTCTGGCCAATCGCTTGAGGCCATTCCTCAACATGCTAATCTCTCCAAATCAGATGGTTTTCGATTGTATCCATACAATTAATTCAAATTCGGATGGAAGAAGTATTTTCTGTGCTAAGTTAGATCTCTCCAAGGTGTATGACAACGTGAATTGGGTTTCAACGAAGCAGGGTTTTCAATCCTTTCATGATGATCGGGTGCATCGAGTTATGGCTTCTGTGACCTCAGTGCGCTACTCGGTTTGCTCCGATGGGGTGTCTTCGACGTCCTTTTCCCCTTCACGTGGTCTATGCCAAAGTGATCACGTGATCTACCACGATAGGCGCCTATGTGCGTTATCGGTCTCATCCACGTCAATTGTAACAATAATAATATCTCCAGCTAGCAGCTAATAAAGCACTCACTTTAAAGGCCAAAACAAAAACAATATTGCGATAAAAAAGCAATTGAAAGAATAAATATTAACAAGTTTGCCATGGCTCTAAGTGTATCCTTGAATTTAATGGTAACAGCTCCATCCTCAAAAATCAAGTTCATTTTGCACAAGATTTAGCATACCAAGGAGTAGTGTTAACCAGCCAGCTGGGACAATTGAAGCGAAGCCGATAGCAACAATTACAAGAGATTTAATTAGAGAATTCATGATTTCTAGTGTTCTTCCTGCTATTCGAGCTAGATGGTCACTAGAAGATGTCGACAAGCATATCTACATTCTGCAAGATAATGCACCTTCTCATATTAGAGTAGAACATGATGATCCACAGTTCCTTGAAGCTGGTAAAGAAGATGGTTTCGACATTAGGGTCATTTTTCAACCATCAAATTCACCAAATTTGATATCGTAGATCTGGGCATATCTCGTGCTATCCAAGCTATTGAAATTAAGAAATATGCAAAAAGCGTTGATGGCCTTATTCTGAGCGCGTTCAACAGGTACACTCTCTACAAGTACATTTTCTTTTCTAGTTTCAACTCAGTCTAATTTCTTGAGTAGTAGTATATCATTATAACTGAATTTAATTTCATGAATAGGCCTTTCAAAATTTCACTATTATTCTCTCGTTGGTAGCTGACGCTTTGGAGAAGCTTGGTTCATGGAGGAAAAACTAGACCTCGGATTAGTAGTTGCACAATTAGACTTCTTTGGTATTTAGGCAAATATGGATGTATGCATGAGACATTTAATCTTGATCGAACAAATAGTACTCTATCTTTGCATCTCCTTTCTTTTTCATGTGCACACCCCGCATTGCTACTGTTTCCTTGCCGAGGAGCCATAGCCATGGATGACTCATCCTCCGGCTCCGAGAGCCCACCTCCTCGTCCTCCTTGGAGGCTCCTGCGTCATCCTCCGACTCCTCCGCCGCGGCCAGCGACGTCCTGCGGCGCAGCTCGATGGACTCCGGTGGCACGACATTCTACGGCGCAGATCGACGGACCGCCATGACGTCCTCTGTCGCGACGTCCTACGGCACGATGGCCTCCATGCGTCGCTTCGTGGCCTCCATGCGCAACGCGAGCTCTCTCTCTCTCTCTCTCTCTCTCTCTCTCTCCATAGAGACAAGCGACGGACTCTCTCTCTCTCTCTCTCTCTCTCTCTCTCTCTCTCTCTGATGCGCTGCGTGAGCGAAGCAAGGGACGACGGCAAGCGAGGAGGCGCAATTAAATGTATCCTCGGGACTAGGCGACGCCGTGAAGGGCCAGGATACAAAACGGTGGGGGTAATCCCGTCCAAAACTCTCTCCACGCGTCCAAAACAACTTCATTAGTGAAAACCACTCCACCCCCTAAAACGACATGATTTCTGAGTACGGAGGGAGTATGAGCCGTCGATGGCGTATACGGTATATCTTACAAAGGGAAAAGTCAAATACAGTATTAGCTAGTCATCACACGTATCTATATGATTTACCCAAGTTATGGAAAGTTATGGAAATCAAAAGTAACTTAAGATAGTAGCATGCTTAGACCTAAACGCAGAGGCGGAGCTGCCCATGCGGCAGGGTGGGGCAGCTGCCCACCTACTGTCGAGTAGCACCACTACTAGCCCCCATGTCTTCTTCCCTTCCGGCCAGGCAGCTAGCGGAGCGGCGCGAATGGCGTCTGCCACGACGGCCGACGAGCGACGAGAGTTGCAGCCAGCCGCCCAGCCACAATGAAAAACGGCCCAATAAGCCTAGCCTGGCAACCGGCCCAAGTGGAAGTGTGTGTCCCCAACCCCAAATCCTTAATTCCCAATCGGCAATCGTCCCGGCTTGGCGGCTCCTCCACTCGCACCGCTCCGCTCGGCGCTCGCTCACGCCGTCACGCCGCGCCACTCGGCCGCTCGCTGCAGCCGCCCGACGCCCGCTCGCCCCGGCCCCCGGCTGACCGGCCTCGAGCCCCGAGGTGCGCCGTGCCGCCGCTCCCGGCCTCCCGCACCGCTCACTGCTGCTGACCCGGCCAGCCGGCCCGGCGCCGCGCCCGCCCCATGGCTCTGGCCCTAATGGGCGGGCTATGCGGCCGACTGCCCCTGAAGGCAAGAATTGGCAAGAAGGAGCGTGAATGCTGACCATGCAGAGCACCGGGAGGCTGCTCTGATGGAGAAGGAGCTCCAGGAGGATTTGGCCGGCGAGCAGAAGACAGGTGCAGACCACGAGTGTGGCCGTGGCCAGGGGGAAGCTGAAGGAGAGCGAGAGGGAGGAGCAGGCTGAGGTCAAGGCCGAGGAGCAGGCGGCCCCAACACCAACAGTCATGCATCTCCTCATAACTTTATTATTGCATTATAATTCATATATTATACACTAAGTCACTAACTCATTTTCTCTTCAAATTTACAGGTTTCGTAACTCTTGGAATGTTGGATTTTGGTCTTTAATTTGGACACTTAGGGCCCGTTTAGATGTCACCCAAAAGCCAAAAAATTTTGGTATGGTCTTTATTGAATTAACGGACTACTATCTAAATGTGAGCGAAAAAAAATTAGAGTTACATCATCAGGTGAGAAATCGCTATTTAAATTTGCCTAATTAGTCCATAAAAGTTGTGTCAAATAAAAACGAAAGTACGGCTGGCAAAAATCCAAAAAATTTTGGATCTAAACGGGGCCTTAATCTTGTTCGGTTGGTCTTTATTGAATTAACGGACTACTATCTTTAAATTAGAGGCACCATCATCAATGGCTATTTAAATTTACATAGTAAAAAGTTGTGTCTACGATACGCCTCACCTAAAATTTTGTTCGAGCTCCGCCACTGCCTAAAGGGCCGCACAGGCACAGACGACGACTGACAAGTGATTGATTCGAATGGACGACTGGCACCAGCGAAACCGTAACTTGACACGATGTGTTTAGTTCGTGAAATAAAAATATTTGAATATCACATCGGATAGTTTTGGGGATATCGGAAGGGGTTTTCGGATACTAATAAAAAAACTAATTACATAGCTCGCCTAAAAACTGCGAGACGAATTTATTAAGCCTAATTAGTCCATCATTAGCGCATGTTTTTTACTGTAGCACTTATGGCTAATCATGGACTAATTAGTCTTAAAACATTTGTCTCGCGATTTCCAACCAAACTGTGCAATTAGTTTTTTTCGTCTATATTTAATACTCCATGCATGTATGCATGTGCCGTAAGATTCGATGTGATAGTTTGGGGTGAAATTTTTTAAACTAAACCAGGCCCAAATGTGATTGACAAGATCTAACCATTGCTTTCGTCATGCTCTGAAAGTTGAAACCACCGACAAAGCTTAGGAGAGTACTACGTCTACGTGCACACAGGACAGAAACAACGTTCACGTAGAATTATTGAGTGAGCTAAGCCATACGCAGATGACGCCCAGGAGCACACTATACTGCTACTGGTAGTAAGTAGTGAGACTACACGTCGCTGCAGAGCCGGCGGACGCCGTCGGTTACGCCAGTATCTTAAGCCGCTTCACCGACTTCACAAAGACCCTGCAAGCAGCAAATCAACGTCGTTTCAAGTTTGCTGCATAATCGGATTGGGTTGTTGCCGTCGCACCATCGGTACAGACAGTTGTAATGACTGATACTTACTCCCACGGCACATCATCTCCGACGAGCAACCAGTCCCCTTCGCCGTCCTCGTAGGTGACCACGTAAGGATGTCGACGGCGGCGCTCGTGCGAGGCCACCTCCTCCTCTTCTTCTGCATGATCTGCATCTGCACCTGCACCTGCCGGTGGTTACAGGAGTGCGACCAAGTTAATTAGCTGCGACCGAATGGGAAGCTACAGCGACAGCGAGGGCACGTGTCGGAACCAGATCGACGGCGGCGGATGGTTACAGATTAGTTAAAGAAAGGCATCCGCAGCGCCGCCGGTCGCCGGCGGCGGCCGCTCGCCGCGGGAACGGGAACGGGAACGCACCTTGTTGGTTAGCCGAGGGGAACATGCGCTCGAGTGTGCGGAGGAGCTCCTGATACGAGCCGTGGAGGGACACGTCCACCTTCCGCCCGATGGCCACCCCTTCCATCTTGACCTTCACGTACCCGCCGCCGCAGCTCCGCCTGCGCGCGCACTTCACCGGCGGCCACCCCTCCAGCCTCTTCTTCCTGCGTACACACACGACGGATTTCGATGATAAGAAAAGAAGACCCGCGCGCGCAAAGAAAACGTATATATATTCTACTACTAAACGACAAGATCTCGGGTGTACGCACGTGGTAGTAGATTATGAACCACTGCACGCTACTCACTTGTTGCTTGGATCATGGTCGACGCCGTCGCGGTCGCCGCCGCCTCCGTCACCATCCTCGGGCACGAAGAGCGGAAGAAGCGTGGCCTTGGAGGCCCCGAACGCGTCGCCGAACACCCTCTTCTTCCCGCACGCGCCCGCCGAGCCGCTGAGGAGGCCGACGAGCTCCCCGCCGCCGGCCAGCGGCTGGTGCGGGTTCGGCAGCGCGAGCCCGAGCTCCAGCTCCATCCGATCGATCACTTTCCCTTGATCAGCTCCGCGCTGCGTGCGCTCATATGCGTGATCACCGCGAAGCTGACACTGACACACCCACTTCGATCGATCGATCGATCCAGCTAGTAGTGTGAGACAGACGGGAAGGCACACGGAGAGGGAGAGCACGCACGGCACAGCAGAGCAAAGTCCTGCTAGGCTAGCTCGAGCATGAGCTAGAGCTACCCGTAACGTGATCGATTGATGAGATGACGATGGGTATATATACGTGCAGCGGCGCACATGCGGATGTGCGTGGGGATCGATCGATCCGGGCGGCGCCGTCGGCAGTGGTGGCAGATGAGATCTGGGGAGGAAATGAGGAATAAACAAGGGGCCGACAGGGTGTCGGGTGTCCAGGGGACCCAGCCGCGGGCGCGCTGTCCGCCTGCCGCCGCGCGGCGCGGCAGCGCGGGCCGCCTCGTTGCCGAGCGCGGACCGACACGGGCACACGGCCCCGTTCGCTGCCGGCCCCCCGGCTCGCCCGCGCGCGCACCCCGGCCGGGACGGGGTGTTCGCTGCCGGGGGATGTTGCCGTGGAGAGTGGGCACACCGCGCTCGTTTGCTTTGCCGATCCAGCGCGTTTTTTCGGTGCGGAATTGGGTTCATGTCCAGTAGGAGTAGGACTGTAGGAGCGGTTTTCATGCACCGTCGCGTATGATTGCCGCTCCTACTTTTTTAGATCTATGATTGGGCATGTTAACCCTTGTGCGTCATCCGTCATGCCCACGTAGCAGTACATAGCAGTAGGTGTCTCGATACTGTAGCAATACCTACACAGAGTATGGTCTTGATAAGGTGGTTTTCGATCGCAAAGAGATTTTTGAAATCCGATTTTCAAAATCTATCTATGAGCTAGATTTTTAGAATCTATGCAAAATCTGACCTATTTGTATGAGATTCTAAGATCATGAGATTATTAAATTCTCAAATCTCCGTCAATCCAAACGGGTACAAATTTGTGTTCATAGATAAGAGCAAGACGTACCATATATACCAACTAGTTAGTAGTACTTTCGTCCCATTTTTAACTAGAGCATAATTATTGACAACGTTAGAGATGAACAAAGTGAATAACCAACAATATTATGTTTTTGTTTAGACTACTCCAACTTCAAACTAACGTATTGTTTGGATCCCTTGGTCTAAAGTTTAGTAGCTAAATTTTAGACCACTTTAGCACTTAAGGTTCAAAAGAGTTGTTCTAAAATATTGTCTAAAGCTTTAGCCAACCTCACAAAAACATTGGACCACAGAATTGAGCTAAAGTGGTCTAAAGTTTCAGACAAAACTTTGACATGCTAAACTTTAGACTAAAGGATGAAACAGGCACTAAGGGCTTTACCAGCACTCCATGCTTGCTTGTAGCCTCACAGAGCCACGTAGGATCAGCTTTCAACCAGTAGTAAAGTAGTTGCCTCAAATGGTGTCAGATATCTCTGCATGCTATAGAGGCTTGGGCATAAATGTGAGACCACAGGGTAGAAAAAAGTAGCTTATCTGTGGATCTATGAAACTACCGTGGGTTGAAGAGTTCTTGGCTTCAATTCGTCCATACCTAACTGGTACACAGTTTTTTTCTTCTTCTGAAGCCAACATCTGGTAGCCGCCCACGTTGGCCTTGCCCAAAGTAGTTCGAATCACCTAAACTCCATAATTTTCTACACGTAACATTATGTACCAAGGCCTCGTTCTCTTTGCAAATTTTTTCAACCCGATAAATAGTACCACTTTCGTCTTATTTGACAAATATTGTCCAATCGTGGACCAACTAGGCTCAAAAGATTCATCTCGTGATTTCCAACTAAACTGTGTAATTAGTTATTTTTTTACCTACATTTAATACTCCATGCAAACGGCTAAAAATTGATGTGATGGAGAGAGAGAGAAAAAACTTGGAATTTGGATGGCATCTATACAAGGCCCAACAAGACAACTTTATGTACCAACAAAACAAGTCTCGTAATTTATTTTTGTGGAGTACTCCCTCTGTCCCAAAATAAAAGACGTTTTGGGTTTTCGTGCCACAAGTTTGACTTGATTTGTAGAAAATACGTGCAATATTTATATCTTCAAATAAATTTGTTAAAAAACTAGACAAAAAGATCTTTTCGATGATACTAATTACTTAGCATAAATATTTATATATTTTAATATATAACAAAACAAGTCTCGTAATTTATTTTTGTGGAGTAGTCCATAAAACATGAATGGATTATGATAGCTTCAACTTCAAACAACCGAAATTTTGTCCAACAAATGTTGGGACTTTAGGAAAAATCGTTTCAGTACAACTTCTTCCTGTTAGAAAAGTACAAAGGAGTACTCAAACTCATATTCTATCCACTAACCAGCATTTGTGGAGTACTGGAGTGTGGACAGCGTTTGACATACGAAGAACTATTTGCCCCTAGTCTGGAGCAGACACACCCAGGCCGCAGGCGGGCTACGCAGAGGCATGTGGGCGCGCTGCTGTTCCCTGTGAGTGCTGGGATTCCTGTGATGGCCACGCTTCCCCTCCAGGCGGTCCCCCTGCACACTGCTCTGTTGGATCTGCCACTCGCTGTGTCACTTGCGGACTTGACCAGTTGCCCATAGCAGCCAAGCAGGAGTACATGCCCTGCAGTGCATCGCGATCTGCACGCATGGGCACCGCGCTTCCCCATGCCTCGGCGCGCCCGCTGCCGGCCCGGCTCTGTTCTGGACATTCTGGTACACGCCGCAGTAAAAAATTTCTCTGCAGATTTTCAGCGCCCAAACGATCGCTCGCACCTGTGATTTTTCTATCCTTCCGTCGTGTGCATACCCGGAGAGACACGTAGACGGTCTCCGGGCTTGTAGCTGCAGGGGACAAGGAATTAACGGATGTCAAAAAGTTTGGGCGTCACGGCTCCACTAGAAAAAAAGTCGAGTGGTGTCGGATGCTGCCCGCATCCTCCGCGAGCCGTACGTACGTTTCCTGCGATGGGACTGGGAGCAGCAGTTTCCGTGCTGGTGCTGCACAAGCCACTGTCCTTTCCAGCTCGCAGACACGAGCCGGAGCCGGCGACACGACGGGATCTCTCCCTCGGCGCTGCCGGCTGCCGGCGATGGAAACATGGTGGCGTGGCGTGACGACGAGCTGTTCGTCGGTCGGTTTCTGATAACTCCTACCAGCAGGTTGCTTGCTTTTGTTATAAAAAAACTTGTTGGGCTTAACCGATAAGCTCCGCCTGAAAAAAAAAAAAAACGACCCGGATGAGTGATGGACGACGACGACAGGCGACTCGTGTTCTCGGTTCGGCAGCCGCCCGGTTACGTGCCTTGGCGAGGTGGTTCATCCGCGTCACGTCGCGCAACTTTGCGAAACTTATAGCTTTGGGTCAAAGAGCCACGGCGCCGGTGTGGTTTTTCCTTGTACGTACTAGACCATACAGCAAAACAAAACAAGCAATGTCGCGTCGGTTCAAGCGGCAGGAAATCTGCGCGTTCACAAAGGTTGCTCCTGCAGAGTGTCCGGGAACTCTGCTTTGACCTGGACGGCTGATCCGTGCTCTGCATCCGGTCCCTGGAACCCTGCTCTTGGCCGGAGAGGGTTCAGTGCTTGACTGCCTGGAGTCCACTGCCTCAGTCTTTCAAACCACCGAACACGCGATACGCGTTCACGCAGTACAATGAACTCACGCCCGAAACCTATCCGGCTATCCCTGTCCGTCCGTCCGGGAGAGGAAGAACGGCACGGCGCCCGGCCCGGCGGCCCGTTCTCTCGGGAACCAGCGTGTCCCTTGGACGTTTGGAAACAGGTCGCGGTCGCGGTGGCTCTGGCATCCCGATTCCCGAGTGGGTCATTGTCCCAGCTATCCTCTGCACGATGCGATGCCGATGCGGTGCGATGCGATGGGAGCGCAGACTAGCTCGTCGGGTCGCGGTGCGTGACAAGTGTCGACCCGCCCGTGCTCCGCTCGCCCGGTACCGCTAGCTAGCTTTGGTTTTGTTTTTTTGCTGGCGTGCAGGTGCGCCACACGAGATATTCGCGCCACGCGTACAGCCACAGTCCACAGTGCACTACTCCTGTGTTCTGTTCGCTTGATTGATAAAGTATGAGTAAAAGTAATGTTGATTGATTTGTTAGAAAGAAAAATTATATTCATTGATTAAAAAAATACGGCTTATAAATCAAACAAACGAGCGTGAGTCTCCTGCTCCTACAGTACTACTTACAGTATAGTGCTAGTTTTGTCGTGCGACGAGCCGTGACGAGCGTACCTTGCAAACAAATGCGGATCGAGTTGCTGCTCTGCTGGATATGTGGAGGCGTTCATGGACTCGGAACAGGTGGGGCGCGAGAAAAAGAAGGGTGCCGTACCGGCAAGACCCCCTCGCAGGTCTGGATCTCCGGAACTGGCTTGCTCCTGAGCTCGACAGCTCCTTGGTATCCTCTGTGAAGGTTGTGGCCGATTTTTTTATTCGAGTGTTGTTTGGGAGGAATTTGGATGAATCTAAATGAATTTGGAGAAATTTGTAAAAAAAAATATTGTTATAAATAAAAAAACGGATTAAGCCGGGTTTATGGGCAAACGAACAGGAGCCTTGTTCTTGGTGGGTCCCATGTTAGTTATGGTCAACGTGTGCACTTTTTATGAGACAAATTTTGAACGGTAGGATTGCGGTTTTTTTTGACGGGAGAAGTACATGAGATTACATGGTCCCGACAACGTCATGCCGGCGTGGCACTCATCATATGTCGCTCATGTTCTACGAGCTGTACTTGCAATCAAGCAAAAACAAAATCTAGTAATATACTAGAGGTACACCTTTCTAGAACAAGTGAAGACACGAGGAACCTTATATAGAGCCTCTTTGGCAGGGCACCTGTGGGGGCTTCAGCTCCGGCTCGCGGCTCCTTGTCAGGGCTCTGCGAAGGAGCCGTTTGCCAAAGAGGAGCTGAGCCATTTTAGAGGAGTCGAGAGTGCCAAACATCTATTTACACAACCAAA